GAATTTGCATTTGTTGCTGTTGAATTTGCATTTGTTGCTGTAATAATTTCTTGAGTGTTTCTTCCAGGTAAGACAGCTTCTCTGAAATTATCTCTTCCACTTCATCCTGTGGCTCATAGCTTGACAAAGACGTAGGAGTGACTGAAACATTTGTGTTCGTAAATTGTGGGAAGGAAGAAGTGGGGTATGCAGTTTCCCGGAAAGGATGATCATATAGAGGTTTGATGGGGCAAAGACATAAATGGTGACCTCCTCCACAGAAGGAACAAATGCTACCCTTAAAACATTCAGATATTTCCTCAGGCGTTTTATTTAGAAGCATAAATTCAAGAATGGAGCCTCGTCTTACGCTTACCCAAGGGTATTGTGATGAAGGATAGTAAGAATCAGAATGAAAGGGTTGCGTGGTTGGAGTGTACGGATAAGAAGGCTGAATGTTTTGTGGCGTAAGAGAGTAATTTTGATGAGGTGTGTAATATTGAGGAGGAGTGTAAGGAGGGTATGGCGTAAATGGTGAATATTCCATGGAGGTTTGAGGGTAAGGAATTCCTCCAGGAATTTGGCTGAATGGGTTCATCTCATGCCTCTTAGAAAAATACCTGAAAGGTTAGCACAGAAAAATCCCACGGAAAAACTAAAAGAAAACTAACTAAAAAAAATCTCGCTGAAATTAATTAACCCTTAAAACCGACACCGTCCCCGGCAACGGCGCCAAAAACTGATGTGAGTTTTCTCGCACTTAAAATGGATGTAGTAAAGTGGTTGAAAGTACGAGTATCGTCTCCACAGGGACGGACAAAAGGGAATCAAGAATTAATTAAATTCAGCGATTAAAAAGAAAATAAAATAAAAGCGTCGTGCGAGAATTGGTTGGTTTGGAAAAAATAAAACTAATGCGAACAATTAAACTAGGGGGTTCTTTCTAATTAATGACGAAGGGAACAGGGATCGATTCCGGGGTAACCAGATTTCTGGCAGATCAGGCCTAATTACATGAAATTAATTTAATTGAGCCTAGCTAATCATTACTAAGTTCTTGCCGCTCTCGCGGCGTAGAGTACAATAATTTAGGGGACCAGGCTGATCTCTCATGTGACAAGATCCTAAATTATTGCCAAAACGAGCGAGCTTACGGCCCCTTAATCGCTACTAATCTCTTAGCGAACGATTAAGTGTGTGTGAATGTGTCCTAGAACAAATTAGATCTCTCTTAATTTATTCTACATGCAATTGTAATTCTAGTCGCGATTCTAGGTTACAAAAGATATCAATTAAATAATTCAAACACAAATTAAACGGCATTCATGCAATTAAACCGAAAAGAATCTATTCATACATCATGATTAACCCCTTCATCAATCCCAAATCCCTAATTAAAACTACTCACAATTCATAATTGAAGAATCAATAGAATTGGAATAAAAAGAATTAATTGTCATTAATTAAAAAGGTGGAACTTACAAAGAATCCCAAAAGATTGATGAACAAGGCTGAAAAGCCCTCTAAAATTCGTGCTAGGCACTCTCTCTAAGCTCCCCCTTGAAAACGGGGGTTTACAGGCTGTTTAAATAGAAAAATCGGGTGAAATTTGAGCTGAAGTAGGTTTTTCGGAGCCAGACACGATGCCAGGCACGATCGTGCCTTCGATCGTGCCTCCGGAGCAAAAACGCGCATTTTGGGCAGGCACGATCGTGCCTCCCTCCAGGCACGATCGTGCCTGGCTGGCAGTAACTCCTCCGTGTTTTCTCTTCACGCACGATCGTGTCTGACTTTGAGGGCACGATCGTGCCTACTTAACTTCCGAATTTGACAAAACTTCCTTCATGAAAGTTGTAGATAATGAAGTCCTCTATCCACCCCAATTTGCCGAATGTGATTTGAATCATCCAATCAAGAGATAGGATCAAAACGGTGGAAGGTGTCTTTCTGAAATCGCAGCAGAGATCATCTGACTTCATCGTCTGTTTTCACCTCCTTACTCTCAGATTCTCGCAAAGGTGTCTTCATATGATTTGTAGCCCTTGAAGTTGGCTTTCATATGGAACTTGAATCGTGTACATTGGATGTTTCTACAAAGAGATATGCTTGAACGATTGACAGAAGGTCATCCTGATCGTCGTTTTCAAGCTTCATTCATCTTCTTTTGACCCCGTAGCCAATCCTAGAGCTCTTTTTCCTTCAAATCTTCATTGTGAATCTTCCGGTGACCTCCAAATCTATCAAATCATTCTCAAATGCTTCTCAAATCATCCCGATTGTTCCTCAAGTGCCGGTACCGAACTCTAAAATCCTGATTTTGACTCCAAATGACACAAAACTCGAACCAACGCCTGTTAAACATAACTTGAGCTAAAATTGATACTTGTAACACCTTAAAGCTAGGAAAACCATCAAAATCCGACCCCAACACGCATCAAATGCATGTCCAAATACGGACTTATCAATATTGAACCCAAAGCTATTTTCTTCAATTTGTTTCTACCTTTTCCAATCCCTTAATTCTTTCTTAATTGATACGGAGTATGTATGTATATTTAGAACTAGTAGTAGGACATCTATTTATAGTGTGAGATGTCTTGATAATCCATGCATAGTAGATGAGATTATTAGCCGACTAAATTATTTAGGAAACTATTCCTCCAAGATGATGATGCTAGATGTCTTGTTTTAGGTGTAAAATATTTTTAATGAATAGACACTCAATTGGGCTGCCCATCTCTAATTAATTAATGATATTTGATTTTTATGATTTATTTTAGAAGTGTCCGAATTGTTACTTAGATTAGTCCAAAAGCTCATTTAATATTTGGGACACCTATTGTTTATCACTACTGTAGTAATACGTATTGTTTATTTATAATATAGTTTAAATGTCTTTAGAATATTACAGTGTTAGTACGTACTTAGTTTATTATTGATACTTCTTTTTAATAAAATTATACTTTATATATACATCAGTGAATAACAGTCAGATATGATTCTAAAATTAATATTACATATAAATTAAAATACACATATTCAGACCATATATAATATTTCTAAACTTATATAACGTTCATCATCCCCATAACATTTCAGGAACATGGACAGAATAATATTAGCAAAAATGGGGATAGGAAACGTACGGACCTTATAGACAAATTCTTCTAAAATTTTATTGATATGAAAAAAAACTTCCACTAGTATTCTTCTTCTCGCAGGTATGTTTCTTTTGATTGTTTTCTTACTTTGTTTGTTGTCCAGCCGTGTGAAAGAAATACTCCGCAAGTGCTAAGCTTTGGCCTATTTAAAGCCAAATAAATCCCATGTGTATGGCTATGATTTTCATGAAGCAAATAATTGAATTGTCTTTATCCTCCATCTCAATAGTACTACATACATACATACGTATGATGATCATCCATTTGCTCATACCATGAGTTGGCTTTACTATTCCTTTGTTTGAATGCTTCATCTCAATTAATTTAGTTGTCAAATTTGTCTCCTAAAGTTTACTATTTCATTTAACTATTCTTTCAAAATGATGAAGCTCATATTTGGCCGCCCATTTCTAATGAATTTAATACGGAGTACATTTTACTATTATAGTTTATATTAAAGTTGTCCGCAAGGCCTTATCATATTAGTACAAAACTTTATTTAGTTTTTGGTACACATATTCTTATTTCCAAATTTGATTTAAATGGCTAAGAAGTTTGTGTCAAATAGGATTACGTGAAAAGTACTAAATGATCATCTTTTTTTTTCAGTTTATTTTAGATCTATTATTTCACTATTAGTTTATTATCATCATTTTTTTGATAAAATATTTACTTTATAATTTTAAGAGGATGTTTAATTTGCTAGGAAAATAATACCTAAAAATCTACTCATATGTATCTTAACTACTAGACCAGATTTTGGGGCGTTACAAGACTTCTCATTATCTATTAAGTAGTTAATTGTTAGACTTCTCATTTATCTATTAAATTAGTTAATTGTTAGACTTCTCATTTATCTATTAAATTAGTTAATTGTTACATTTATCTACATTTCTCTACATTTCTCTACATTTCTCTTTAAAGAAAAAAAATAGTTAAAGTAGTATATTTTTACATTTGTCATATTTCAATTAGTTAAAGTACTTAATTGTTTCATTTGTCATATTAAAATTAGTTATTTCATACATTGCTCATTAAAGTAAAAATAACTAGTAAATTATTACATTTGTCATTTTAAAAACTAGCTAAAGTAATGCCAGAGCTAGGACGGAGATGTGCTGAACGTGTTGGCAATCATGACGTCCCCTTGCTCAATTGGAAGGCTACGAGGTTCTTTCATTTGCAAACGCTAAATGAAATGATTTTCAAGGATCATTACGATGTAATGTATTTGTGTGTTTTAAAATATGAAATTTTGCTTCAAAGTGTGTAAATAACTATAGCTTGTACGTGCAGGAGGAAGATGAGGAAGACGATGGTGAAGATGATGATGGCTTCAAATCCAAGATGATGGCTGAAATGAAAAAGCTACGGGCGCAAGTGGTGTCTCTGGAGGCGCGGCTGAAAGTAATGGAAGATAGATTGGTTGTTGGGAGTGTGGCCGAGGAGAAGCATGATGAAGATGAAGATGCCAAGCATCAAGCTGATGAAGATGAAGAGCAAAAGCATGATGAAGTTGCAGTTGTCGAGGAGGATCATGTGGAAGTAAGTTTTATTGTGTTTCCAACAATAAGCATGTTTCCCCTTTCAATGCTTTTCTGAATGTCTGTCTTTCCTTTATTTTTGTCTGTCTGATATATTATTTGTCTGTCTGTATGTCCTTTACAATTAAATGTAGGTGGAAAATGAAAATGCATCTGATTTCAATGCTTCTGTACCTTCTGATGAGATTCATGCATCTCTAGCTGAAATTGAGAAGCATGTGGAAGTAAGTTTTGTTCTGAATGTCTGTCTTTCCTTTATTTTTGTCTGTCTGATATATTATTCGTCTGTCTGTATGTCCTTTACAACTAAATGTAGGTGGAAAATGCAAATGAATCTGATTTCAATGCTTCTGTACCTTCTGATGAGATTCCTGCTGCTCTAGCTGAAATTGAGAAGCATGTGGAAGTAAGTTTTATTCTGAATGTCTGTCTTTCCTTTTTATTTGTCTGTCTTATATATTATTCGTCTGTCTCTATGTCCTTTACAATTAAATGTAGGTGGAAAATGCAAAAGCATCTGATTTGAATGCTTCTGTTCTTTCTGATGACATTGTAGCTGAACATGACAAGCAAGAGGGAGTACGATTTCATATGTTTTCAATTATAGAACATGTTTCCCCGTTCCAAACATCGCTGAATTGTCTGTCTGTTCTTTCTACCTTTCATGTTTTCTTATTTTTTTCTCATAAATTGTTTGTCTATCCTTTATCATTAAAACCAGCAGCGTATTGATGAGCGTCATAAAGCTGAAGTTGAACATGAGAAGAATGAAGAAATTGCACATGTTGCCGAGGGGGGTCACCATGCTCACGTTGAAGGTGTTGACATGTTTGAAGCATGTACTGATGATATTGGGCAGGAGGGCCAAATTGGTGACGTGCATGAAGTAAGTTTGTGTTTCCCAGTTTATTTCCTCTTTCCTAAATGATATGTATTGTCTGTCTTTCCTTTTTATTTGTTTGTCTACGGTATATTAATTGTCTGTCTGTATTTGGGCCGTTATTGTCCTAAATATTATTTAACATAAAATGCAGGTGGATAATGAAAATAATTCCGAGAATCATGACTCTGTATCTTCTGATAAGGCATATTGGGATGACGTGGTGGATGAGTGGCAAGCTGCCGCTAAAGGGGACTTGGAGGCTGAGGCGAGTGATGTGGGGATGAAAAGGAAAAAGTTCGCCTCTAAGTTCATGCTTAGCCCTTTCACCGATCCTAACCCAAAACGGCTGAAAGGCGTGAACAAAGCAAAGGATAATCTCAGTCAAGTAGATGAATGGACTGATTTTAAGAATTGGGTTGAAGCTGATGACAGTGTTTCCCCTTCAAGTGTCATGCTACGTGTCCATGAACTGCTTGAAGTGAGCAGGAGTTTTTTCAGAGTCCTAGTATCTCCTGACCACTGGATGTCGAGCACGGTGAGATCATTGTACACCTAGACCTTTTGAGTTAATGTTTTTTGAGAATTTTTTTAACGCTGTTTGTTATGTTTGAAGCACCTTCATGCAATAACGTACTTGCTAAATAAAAGCATCTGTGCGCATACGGTGACTTTTATCAGCCCTTACGTTGTGGTATGCACTTTTTTTCCCGTGTTATGTTCTTTTTAGTAGCCTTACATTTTTTTGTTATGTGTGTAGCATAAAATCCTTAAGAAAGATATAGGCAACGACACACATTGGAGTGGAGATAAATACCTGAAAAAGCTGGACTGGAAAAGTTGTTTGAAGGTATTGTCTGTCTAAGTGTTTTAAACGTCTGTCTATTATTATTTCGCACCTGTTTTGCCTGTCTCGATAGAACACCTAGCATTTTTTATGAAACGTTAATTCTTGGCAGGTTTTGTTTCCCTTAAATATTGAAAACAAGCACTCGATCTTGGCGGAAGTTGTGTTTCGGAGCAGACTGGTTAGATTATACGACTCTCTTAAGACTTCTAGGACTCCATTTTATGCTAAGGACTTGTGTGAGCGGCTGCCATACCTAGTTCGTGCCATTGGTATTTGTACGAATGACAGTGATTTGGAGCCGTGGAAAGCAGTAGCTGTGGATGGTGTGCCACAACAAAAAGAAGCGTATGAAATTTAATATTAATATGCATAACATTTATTGTCTGTGTAAGTGTTGTAACTCTCTGTGTTGGATAATTTTGTCTGTTTACAGGTCGGGTGAATGTGGCGTGATGGTCCTAGCTTTTGCAGAGCAGCTACTCCAAGCGAAATCATTGCTTCCTGATTGCGACTATGGCAACATGTCGAACAAAAGACTTGAGTATGGTATTCGGCTTTGGCGCTTGAAGAAGGAAGATGCGTAGAGTGTTGTAGAAATCATTTTTATTTGAAGTTGTAGTTCGAACAAGTATTGATTTTGTGTATCTATTGAACTTGGAAACAATGAAAAATGGTTGGGGTATTTTGGGGAAATATGTCGAAGTTTGTACAATGTTATGTACTAAATGTTGTACAATCTTCAACAATTGGGTGCTATATTTTCAGCGTGTATGTTTATTTTGCAAACAATTCATTCACAGGTGACCACTTATTTATGTGGATTTTTTGTTTGTATGAGAATATTTTGTTTTGTCTGTGAGGTTATAATTTCAGCGTTATCGTGTATTGTATGTGATTTGCACAACACCAAATGTCTGTCTGGTTATGTGTGTTGTCTGTGTACGTATATTTATTGTCTGTCTATCATTTCAAGCAACGCAACACAAAATGTCTGTCTGGTTATGTGTTTTGTCTGTGTACATCTATTTATTGTGTGTCTATTATTTGAAACAACGCCACATTGATGATTCATAACAAACTTCAGTTTTCAGTTACCCCGTTATCATTCACATTACGTTTATACGAGGCAATAAGGTTCAAAGCACAAAAAAGAGTACATGATAAACTACATCAAACTAAGGTTTAAGTCCAACCCATAATCATTCATACATTCCATAAATACGGGAGTTTGAGGAATTTGGTGTGATCCACCAATGATTTCAACTGTAGAACCCTCCTTGCTCAATTGTTTTGATTTTGTCTTCGCCTGCAAAAGAAAAACAAAATAAGTATTGTTTTGACATGCAAGTAAAAGGTAAGTACACAATCACCTTTTGTTTCTTATTTCCTTTTTCAAGTGGACCCTTTATGCGATTTTTTCTCGGTGCACCCTTGCGTTTTGATATTTTTGGATCCAGAATTTTATTCGGATGATCGGCATGGACACTTGTGCATATTTGAGGTATTTGTGTCATGGAACCACATATACTTGAATTACCCTTTGATATGAAACTTTTGTCCATCTTGACATTCAATTATGTCACAATAAAGCTTGCCAACTACTTCTTTTTGGAATTCCTTAAACTTTGCAAGTGTGTATAGTCCTTGTACTTGTTTCTCCAATTTTTGTAAATGATTTTGTGTCTGCATGAAACTCGTTTTCTGCCTTACGTCTCAAAGCCCGACCGTATTGCTCCACAAATAGTTTGAGACTTGTTTTGGAGTGCACGAAACCATCAAAGAATGCGTTCATGCTCTCACTTCTTTGTGTGGTGGACATACCCGCCCAAAATGTGGGTTTAAGGTAACAAGGTACCCACCGTTGACGTTCATTGTACATCACCTCAAGCCAATCATCATCTTGGAGTGAATAACTGCGACATCATAGGAATCTATGTTATAACCAAAGTATTAGTGTGTTTCAGACATTAAATGTCTGCCACAAAGAAGTTATGTGTGTTAGTTAAGCATGATAAATTATATTGTCCCAGTCCCTAATGTCTGTGACAGACAACTATTGTCTGTGAGACAGAAAGTATTACTTCACTCCAGACAGCAATTGTCTGTCACAGACAACTTTAGTCTGTTAGCTATCAATATTTAGTCGGTTTTCAACTAAGATTAGCATTGAATACCTTTCTACAATCTCTTTCCAACCCACTTCAAATGCAGATGGGGTTTGTGAGTCGTATACTACGTCGTGTATTGCGGACATAATATCATCTTTATCGGTAAAACCTCCCATCTTTTCCGGTAGCTTTTTCATTATGTGCCATAGACACCACCGGTGTCGCGTATGAGGAAAAACGATTTTAATGGCGTTTTGCATGGCTCGATCTTGGTCCGTAATAATTCCGTCCGGGGCACATCCGTTCATACATTCAAGCCAAGCTCTGAAAAGCCACACAAACGTTTGAGTATCTTCACTCGAGATTAGGCCACAACCAAGCAAGATTGATTGACCATGGTGATTAACTCCAACAAATGGGGCAAATGGCATATCGTATCGATTTGTAAGATATGTTGTGTCAAAAGTTATGACATCGCCAAAGTCCTTGTAGGCATATCGACATCGATTGTCCGCCCAAAACACGTTCCGTAACCTTGACTCCTCATCCAAATCAATCATGAAGAAGAAACCGGGGCATTGTGCTTGCATCCTACAAAAGAAGTCTTGAATTGCCATTGCGTCACCATTTCCTAATCTTAGTTGTCGCATCTTATCTATGTAGTTCCTACAATCCTTTTCAATAAAGGGAAGTTCTTCATATCCACCGGCTTCCACAACGGCGGAGTTGAAACTCTTATAAACCGGTATTCCCGCAACATCATTAATGTCAAGGTTTCTCACCATGTGCGGTGTAAACTTTCTATTACACCGGAATAGCCTTGCCTTCGTAGGACTCATATCATGATTATGATCTAAACATAACTTTGAAATTACCCATCCTCCGGCATAATTTGGACGTGCTCTTATTCTTGCAAGGCAACCAACTTGCATTAAAGGTTGAGGCTTCAAAACATTTTCTGACCGGCTAGCCCTAATTCCAGTACGGCCACACTCTAAGACAATCGCAATGATGTTGCCGGATTTGTCTTTACTTGAACTTCGTTGTCTAACGGGAAACCCCGCTCTTCCACCATAAGCCTTGTAGAAATCATAAACTGCGTCTTTACTAGGAAACTCCATACCAACTTCAGGGTCTTTATTACTACTCTTTTCTTCCTCTTCATCTGTTATTACAAAAAAAATGCATGTTCATAAAAATTTACAACTCACAACATTTTGTCTGTCCAGACAGACAATAGTATGCAATTTTTTTTCTATAACATTCTTGTGTACATTCACAAATACAACCATATGTCCAAAACTTATACACACTTTCACATAGCAACTACATTTTCTATCAAAACATACTACATAAAACTATTGTAACTATACTTGCATATCCATACAGACGTTATTTTTACGTAGACAAACAAAATAAATTGTCTGTCAGACAGACATTATAGTATTATACATATGGGTCAAACAACAAACCTACTATGTTTCAGTAGACTGACACTGCACTTATAACTACTCTGATAGACAGACAACCCCTTTTCATATCCCAAAAACACCAAAAAATCAAGAAAACAAAATCAAGAAAATCAAGAAAACAAACCCAAGACAACAACACATACTCAAGCCTTCCACCTCTGGACCTTGTTCATCTTCGTCCCTCGACCTCGCATCCAGTTCGCCGGAAACTGGCGTACGATCATCATCTCCACCTTCATCACCTACCTCTCCAAAAATCATGTTATCCAAGAGTAATCCATCAACCCACTCGGATGTATCATTCCCATTTAGCTCCATTGAAGAAGAGTTCCAACGGAGAAGATGAAGGATGTCTCACTCTTCTCTTCGGTTGTTTGCTCGAATCGGTGCTTCCGGGTTTTTGGAGGCGTGACTTCTGCGCAGGGGAGGGAGGGAGGGTTGTGAGAGGGGAGAATTATTTGGGGGTAAATGATGGTAAAAATAGGGAGTATTTATATGGGGTGCCAAGGGTGTACACAAATTGTGTACCCCAAGCAAAATTCAAGATGTAAAAGGAAAAACAACACCATTCATAATTTAATAATGATAGTACGTCATAGAATCTAAAAGACTAAAATGCATATCATATTCCAAAATACATATATAGAGTTCATTAACTGTGTTTTAAAATACGTATTAAAGCATGCATCAGATTGATCGAGGGGAAACATTATGGTAATATACCTAGATATTAATACTTTTCATTGATATGATATTACGTTGAAGTGTTGAACATTGGGTACATGGATATGTTTAAACGATAACATGCATGTAACAACAACTAAAGTAATAACTAATGACTTTGGCACTTTCTTGTTTGGTTAAAGCTACGGAGTACTAAATATACTAATAAATAAAGTACACACAAATTAAATTATACTATCGTATATGCATAATTGTATTGCCTGTACGTACGTACGTTAGTTTGTTTTTTCAGACCACCATTTCAGTATTTAACATATGTTGAATAATGTACTTATGGTTCATCAAATTTTTAAGAAAGGTGGAATTTGTTTAACATAAAGCCATAAAGGAGATGAGGAGGGCATAAAACCTTGCCTCAATACAAATTAGAATTACATACAGGTGATATATATGGGAAGCCTATGGTATCGTATCTCAGAATGTGTACATAGTGATTTTAGAATTTGTGTCCTTTACAGATCAATTCAGCCCCTTAATCTTTACATGTTCCAGTTTTAGCACATTAACTGTATTCACTTGTATCTGATCGTATAACTAATACATACTCCGTACATTTGTTCGATCATATTAAGGGCATTTCCATTAAAAGGTACACTTTTCAGTGCAAAAATTGGAAACTATGTATTTCTCTTTCATTGGTGTGTTTTTTGGCCAAAAAACACACCGAAAATTATGTTTCAATTCAAGCGGGTGAACTTCTTAGTGTTTCATCACATATTCCGAAAATCCCCATTGTATGTCGCTATTGTCTTTCACTCTTTCTTATATGTTTTGACTTTTGAGTACTTGGAAATAGAATTTGTCCGGTGGGTGGGGTCACAGTATTAGCTGACTGCATTTTACACTTTAAGTGTCAATAACTTCTTAAGATTATTGTATATATATGTGGTTATTGAACCTACTCGTGTTTTCTTCTGTCTGTGGCTATTTAGGAAGGGATCAGAATAGTAGATCAGATAGACCTTCTAGTTGAGCAAGTCAAGATGTTTGCTGGGGAGATTCGATTTGGGCCATTTGGCACTAGCACGTTGAAACGCTTAAAGGTGCAGTCTGTAAATGATCCTGAAAACTTTGAAACTGAAAGGCACATGTATGTTACTATGATGAATTTAGTTAAGTTACACTCAAGTGTACTTCAACATCTAATTCGGCGTGGACAGCGCAGCTACATGGACTTATTTATTTTAAAAGATATCTGCCATCACTGTTCACTGCTAATAACATGTTTTCTAAGAACGGTGTAGTCAGTGGCGGAACCAGCTTGGGGATCTTGGAGGGGCACATATTGAGAAAGGAAATGTCTTCGGCAAGGCGGGCGGCTTGTTGTGACTCTAGATTTCCGATCTCCGGCAAGGTCAGCGGTGGCAGCTTTTTATTTTTATTTTATTTTATTTTATTTTCTTTCGGTGGTTTGAGGAGTGTAATAAATGCCGGAAAAAATGACATGTATATTATTAATAAAGTTCTCTTTGACAAAACTATGAATAGTTGTGTTTTTGGACAAAAATATGATTAGTCACTATGTACGAGTAATTGAATAAGAGTCACTATAGCGTATTTCAGAGTGAACTAACACTAAAAACTAGTCATTGAATATGCAACTTTTTAAGAAAATCTTAAATGTTTTTTTTTTAAATTTGATTAAGTAGCATTCATTGGGATACAATATAACTTTATCATCCAAGCTACGGAGTATTCCTTATAATTCTAAAGTTTTCCACCCATTTCAACCTCACCCCACAAAAGTCCAGCAAATACTTTAGTTTATTTTCTCCCACCCAAGTACCCAACCACGTGTATAGTTTGAGCTTATAGCTTTCTTTGCTTTTAGATACATACTACTGACTACTCAATCGATCGGTGTCTATATGAAAAGGGCTTCTTTGGCTTTTAATTTGGAATATATGGGTGTGATACAATTCCCAATACAAGTCTATCCACCGGCCTTAATTATCCGTATTCCTAGCATGGGCAACAACCAACTTGTCAAACACAAGGGTTGGATATATATAAAATATACGTAGTATATATACATAAAGAACCACCTGGCTGCAGCCTGCAAGGGCACAAGCCCCTCTGAGCACATACGTAGATATAGTATCATCAGTGATGATACTATATCTACTCAAGTTTATACATTAAATAACAAGGGTGCTTATTTTATGTGTGTTTCAGCATGACTTATTGTTGTAAACTGTAACCATAGGTTGCTTAAAGTGAATTTCCATTTTGTGCTTATTACACACAAGAGCTGACTAATTTAATTTGTTTCATTAGGTTGAAGCTCTTGAAAGTGAAATTCAAGAGAAGAGAGTGCAAATGAGGATTTCTGAAAAGTGGGGAAGCATCTAGTGGTAATGCATCAGTATTTGAAATGCAAAAGGTCATCTCACGTTGTCCATCTATGATGTGTGTTTTCTCGCACTTAAAATAGTTCGTAATATAGTGGTGTAAGTACGAGTATCGTCTCCACAGGGACGGACAAAAGGGAATGAAGAATTAATTAAATTCAGCGATTAAAAAGAAAATAAAATAAAAGCGTCGTGCGAGATTGGTTGGTTTGGAAAATAAAACTAATGCGAACAATTAAACTAGGGGGTTCTTTCTAATTAATGACGAATGGAACAGGGATCGATTCCGGGGTAACCAGATTTCTGGCAGATCAGGCCTAATTACATGAAATTAATTTATATGAGCCTAGCTAATCATTACTAAGTTCTTACCGCCCTCGCGGCGTAGAGTACAATAATTTAGGGGACCAGGCTGATCTCTCATGCGACAGGATCCTAAATTATTGCCAAGACGAGCGAGCTTGCGGCCCCTTAATCGCTACTAATCTCTTAGTGAACGATTAAGTGTGTGTGAATGTGTCCTAGAACAAATTAGATCTCTCTTAATTTATTCTATAAGCAATTGTAATTCTAGTGGCCATCTAGGTTACAAAAGATATCAATTAAATTATTCAAACACAAATTAAACGGCATTCATGCAAATAACCCCACAAGAATCTAGCCATACATCATGATTAACCCCTTCATCAATCCCAAATCCCTAATTAAAACTACTCACAATTCATAATTGAAGAATCAATAGAATTGGAATAAAAAGAATTAATTGTCATTAATTAAAAATATGGAACTTACAAAGAATACCAAAAGATTGATGAACAAGGCTGAAAAGCCCTCTAAAATTCGTGCTAGGCACTCTCTCTAAGCTCTCCCCTTGAAAACGGGGTTTACAGGCTGTTTAAATAGGAAAAATGGAGCAATTCGGGCGAAATTAGGATTCCAGGGGCAACGCACGGGGAAAACGCACGGAGTGCGTCCCCCAGTGCGTCTGGAGCACAGCCGCGTAAAAATATGGAACGCACGGCGCCCCCCACGCACGGCCGTGCGTTGCTGGCAGTATCTTCCTTGCTTTCTCGCCTCAGACGCACGGTCGTGCGTTCCCCTACGCACGTCGTGCGTAAAACTTCCGAATTTGACAAAACTTCCTTCATGAAAGTTGTAGATAATGAAGTCCTCTATCCACCCCAACTTGCCGAATGTGATTTGGATCATCCAATAAAGAGATATGAATAAAATGGTGGAAGCTCTCATTCTGAAATCGCAGCAGGGATCATCTGACTTCATTGTCTGTTTTCATCTTCTTCCTCTCAGATTCTCGCAAAGGTGTCTTCATATGATTTGTAGCCCTTGAAGTTAGATTTCATATGAAACTTAAATCTTGTCTATTGGTTGTTTCTACAAAGAGATATGCTTGAATGATTGACAGAAGGTCATCCTGATCGTCGTTTTCAAGCTTCATTCATCTTCTTTTGATCCCGAAGCCAATCCTAGAGCTCTTTTTCCTTCAAATCTTCATCGTGAATCTTCCGGTGACCTCCAAAGCTATCAAATCATTCTCAAATGCTTCTCAAATCATCCCGATTGTTCCTCAAGTGCCAGTACCAGGCCCAAATTCTCTGATTTTGACTACAAACAACACAAAACTCGAACCAACGCCCGGTAAACATAACTTGAGCTAAAATTGAGACTTGTAACACCTTAAAACTAGGAAAATCATCAAAATCCGATCTCAACACGCATCAAATACGTGTCAAAATATGGACTTATCAATCTACTATTTGTTATAACTCTCCATTGCTACAGAGCAAGGGCCTTAGCACTTTTTAAAGATACAATTTACATTAATATTTTGGCATATTGTTCTCAATATAGACATTGATGAAGTTGACGGCTCAATGTAGCGAACAGGGTTTTAAGCTTGAGGTCAGTGCACCAATTAATATGCGAAAATCTTTGTCACAATCTTTGTCACAATTTATTACGGAGTATTCATTTGGTTTAAATTGTGAGGAATTGTTTTAGTTTCACGTATTGAGAATAGGTCGATTAAACAAGAAAAGAGGGAAGCGTTGGGATGAAAAGTTGAACTTCACAATTGTACTTTTAGGCCAATGTATTATCTTATATTTCGATAGTTGGACTTGTTAATATGTAGTAATATAAGTTTCATATTGAGTAAAAAATCGGTAGTAGTATTACTTTTTGTTTAGTAAGGATTTTATTTCTTTAATTTGTAAAAAGATTTGCATCACTAATTGAATGATATTTGAAATTATGTTTTCGTGGTTGATCTCAAATTTTAATTGCGTTTGAACTTTGAATGCTATGGGTTTGTATGTGAATTATGGAATGATTGCTGTTAGAACAATATCAATGGACAATGGTGTATGAACCGTAGCTATAGCAAAATATTACAAAAAATTAGCCTACGTCTATACTAACGGAAAATATAATTAGTAATGGTTAATATTGTATTGGTATAAGCTAATGAGCTATTCTCACGGTAGGGAAATATGTTGGTATTGGTCTATATATACCGACGACACATATACTAACAATAAGATTTTTGTTGGAATTACATATATTTCTGTTGGTATAGCCAAAAGATATCTATACCAACAGAAATATATATCTATACCAACAGAAATATTTCTGTTGCACAATCATATGATTGTGCATTTTGGAGATCCATTTTTGCTCATAACTCAAATTTGGGATATTATATTTTATTTGTGAGACTAGATTAGAGTTCGCTTGGTAGGTATGACTATCTATATCAATTTTGAGCTGCCGGGAATGAGTTTTTGGGACTGATTTGTAGCTGGTTGGAATCTAAGGACTGAATATTCCAACAAAAACATAAATTCGCACTAATAGTCAAGACATTCCTATGGTATCAATGTCTTGTTGTATATTGTACAAAAGCAAACTTCTCTTTGCTCTTCACTTACTAAATTCTTATACGCACTCATCCTTGCAAAAATGGTGTGAGACTGTGCATCACACAAGTTGATTCAGGATGAGTGTCGATTGGACCTAAAAAGTATTCTCACCATCCCGCTACAATTGTTTCATATATATGTTTTTTTTCTGTTTCAGTAAAATTGTCTCATATCGAATTTGTTAAATCTAAATTTATGTGATTTTAAAGCATTTTTACTTATTCCTACTTAATCAACTCAGTAACAATCATATAAACTTATATTTCTTAATAATGGTGTCACATCCTAATGTTAGTGGTATAAAAGTAGTAAAAAAAATAGTCAACACACAGCATACAAAGTCATATAGCTTCAAAATTAAAGTTTAAGCTTTGTAAAGTTTAAGAGTGAATGCTCCATTAGACCATTACAAATTTACAAAGACATATAGCTTCACAGTTAACGTACACTAAGAGCATGTTTGGTTGGCATAAGTCACTAACTTCTGACTTCTGTACTATTTAAAAAGTCTTTAAAAACTTCTAGCTGTATATTTGGCATGTCAAATTTTAAGAGCTTTTTAAAAAATAAAAGATCTTTTTTGAGATGCTACATTGAGTAGCATCTGGAAAAAGTCTATAGCTTTCAGTATTAATTTGTCTTAACAACTTGTATACCAAACAGAACTAAATCAAACAGTTAGCTTTTTATTAAACAGTTACCACCTTTTGTTTTTAAGCTCTTTTCAGTCACAAAAGGCCAACAAATACTAAAAAGCTCATAAAAGTATCTTTTCAACTAGTTGTGCCAAACATACCCTAATACGGAATACGAGGTATACGACAACATCGTATGTGTAAACGTCTTCGCGGACGTGAAGCACAAAGATACTTTTATTGCTTTAATTTTGACTAAATGACATGATTTCATATGATGAACCAAACCTTCTTTAATTTCACCAAAAAAAAATTGTTGGTCACTTTTACCCTTGAAAATATGTTGTGTAGCACCCCGATATAAAAGAGGAATACAGCCGTACGTCTTGCCTATTTCATGATCTAGTTTTTTCCAATTGTAATCTACTACGTATATTTTATTGAGGTATGAATTATAATAAAGATAAAATTCTTCTAAATAAGAGTAAAAACGTTTTGAAATTTCAAAACATGATTATCATGTTTTTTATTTCCTGAATAGAAGTAAATTTCTGCCAAGTTTGGCCAGTGCCGATCCTACATAAACTCGGGCCTGAGTCGAACTTTCATAAAAGGGCCCTATACATAGTATTTGTTTTGTAATACTCCGTACAACGTATTTAGAAGTAGAGGATAAATATCACAAAAACTCAATACTTAAATAAAATTCTTACGTTATAACATAAAAAAATCACAATTTTGATTAATTTTGGATTGAAAATCACACAAATTTTTCATGATAATCTTAAATAAAAAATAGATCTAAATTCTCAAATATAAAATTTCACTTGCAAGGCACGAGCCAGCTTGACTACTTTGTAAAACAATAATCAACTTACTTTTAATTTTTAAATAGCATTTGTTTATGCAGATTGCAGATACTTTAAATCTCAAACAATAATATAATATTTAGTCAATAGTTATAGCAAATAGAAAATAGAAGTTAATAAGTTAGTTCATTGGGTATTCACAAATCAATAGTTCTCAAATTAGCAAATCATTCTAAAAGCTAGATTTTTGGAAATATTAACATATCGACAAATTTGGGACTTCATATTTGTACTTCACTACCTAGTTCATAACTATATTGTCCCGCATATTTTGTTACTTCTGTATCGGATGATATAAACTACACAACAATGTAGCTTTCGTTTTTAATACATATATATACTATAAATGTATTTAAATTTTTGGGCCCCTAATTTTTTAATTTTTTTGGGGCCCTGAGGCTCAAGCCTCACTGGCCTAAGGGAGGGACCGGCCCTGAGTTTCGCATTACTACACTTTAAACATATCGTTTTTTTCAAACTTGACTGATTACTCTTATTCAGGGAATAAAAACATAATAGTCCTATTTTGAATTTTAAAATGTTTTTACTCCTATATCGTGCAATTTCTGCATAACAAAACTATACCAAAAAGTCATAGGGAAATATAAAGTCATAAAATTTCATAAAGAATTTATATTGCAGCGTCAAAACATAAAATAAAATTTCATTATACTACGTATACTTGTACTTTACTAATTATAAATAGGGAAAGTTCTCCAAATAGGACTAAAACAGTTTGAAAATTCCAAAATAGGACTGTCATGTTTTTATTCCAGAAATAGTACTAATTACTAAATTTGGAAAATACTGCCATGTTTGAAGTATGGTACGTACTGCCAAAACATGACAGTAATTAGTCCTGTTTTGGGAGTAGAAACATGAGTCCTATTTTGGAATTTTCAAACATTTTTAGTCCTATTTCGGGTAATATTCTTTTTTTTTAAAATCAAATAACCATTTTATTGATAATCAGATCTTAACAAGAAACATAACAACTAAAAGCCGAAGTATTACAATTATAACGTTCAATACTACATGCTAGGGTGAGACAAAGAACAAAGACGCCATATAAAAACACTCATGTTCGCTAACCTTGCAACAATGTAGACTTGTACCGCAGTGTGACTGCTCATGCTACTCGAAATGGGTTTGGCTTGACCATCCACCGAAAAGGAATTATTGAACTTGCCAGTTTTTCCATCCACCGGTAAGGAGCCAAGTGCAGAGATGGTTCCGGTTTGACCAGTCACCGGAAAGAAAGCAATCCATCCAATGTCATCTTCCTGGATCGGCGGTGGTTCAAGAGGGGGGTGATCAGCCTCTATATCGATGCAGCAGAAATCCTGATTCATGATTGATAAAGAAGCCAATATAAACCTCTTACTAGTACACAAGAGCACCCGACCGATGATGGCGGAGAATATAGATCTGGCGAGCGACACTGCGCCACCGAAAATAACATCTCTAGACAACGCTAGGAAATAAACGTATAGATAGAACAGAAAATACTGATTAAACGAAACTTTTTCCACAATTGAAATCAAAAGAAGATAAGAATAGAAGAGAAGAAGAGAAGGAGGCGGCTAGGATTTCCCGTCACCGCTCCTCGCGGGTAATATTCTCTTATAAATATGTATACTCAAATTTTTTCTTGAGTGGCCGAGGCCTGCTAGCCTCCCGTCTCCAATGACCACCACGTACAAACACACCGTGTAGTTAAGAAATTGTAACCCCAACTCCAAAATTTTAATAATCAAAGTTCAAACAATGAGATTGGTAGGCTTTCTTGTGAGGATATTTTGAATCTATACGAGTATACGACTATACCCAGTGACCAAATTATATACCGGAGTATCAATACCAAATTAAAAGGATAAAACGCACTATTCATAATAATTGAATGATGATAGCCTAAATAAAAGTAAAATGTTTTGAGATTCCAAAATAGGATTACTATGTTTTTTATTCTCTAAATAGGAGTAATTTTATTAGCCTTTAAAAATGACTGTGTCTGCCAAGTTTTTTCAATTTTGACAGAAATTATTATTGGAATAAAAATATGAAATTTCAAAACATTTTTACTCTTATTTTCTGATAATTTCTATATTCCAAAATATAGTACATATATCCTATACGGTATGTTTTAAAATGGGCATTAAAGCATCAAACCGAGGGGAACACGGTAATTAATTTACCTTTCTAGGTACGAAATATTGATGTTTTTTTACTTATTTTCACACGGGTGTTGAAGATCGTTATATATATGTTTAAAAGATAACATGTAACAACAACGAAAATAGCAACTCAGGACTTGGCACTTTCATAGTTTCATGTTAGGTTATAGACGAAAGCTATAATAAAGGAAACACAAATTATGCATCATTGTATTGCCTGTAGCTTATTAGTTCGTTTTCTCATCCACCATTTTAATGTTTAACATGTCTTGAATATTGTACTTTTGTATATACTATACGGTTAATCAATTCTTTTGAGGGGGGATTTATTCAAAATAAAGGGGAAGAGGGCACAAAACTTGGCCTCAATACAAAGGAAAAATTGACATGAATAATCCCACCTTTTACTGGTCTTCTCATAATAATTTCACCTTTAAATAATCCCAAAATAATTCCACATTTGCACCTCATCTTCTTTCATTGGACCTTCACCATATTTTTTACTCCTTTTTTGAAAATCATATAAATAATCTCACCTTTCACCTTTTTATTATATCTTTATAAATGTGAAATTATTCATATAAGATTTCCAAAAAAGGTAATAAAAAAACTTGGTCAGGGTCCAATAAAAGAAGATGAAGTGCAAATGTGAGATTATTTTGGGATTATTTAAAGGTGGGATTATTATGAGAAGACCGGTAAAATGTGAGATTATTCTTATCAATTTTCTCAAAACAGATAAGAATAACTGAATAACAGGTGATAATGTGATATATTGGAAGCCTATGACATCAAATTTCAGGATGTGTACAAAGTGAAGTGATTTTGTGTCATTTCCAAAATTGTAGCCATACGTACCTTAATTTTTACTTGTTCCCGTTTTAATACATCTTATAACACGGCATTTCCATCAAAAGGTACGGTATACTTTGGTGCAAAATTGGAAATCATTTGTCTTTTCAGTATGCTTATTGCCACAAAACATCCTTTTAGGTGGAAAAACACTTTAAATGGACAAATTTATTAATTACATATTCAAGGTTGTAACTTTATTGGAGCCCTATTTTGGTGACCCTACTTTTTCGCCTTATGAGCCTTTATCAGTCATTTTTTTTTTGGAAAAATAGGTCTTATTAGTTTAAAATGCCATAAATAGAACTTTGTATTTGTGATTGGACAAAAAGACTCTTATAGGTTGGAGTTGTTGCCCCCAGGTTTTTTGGTTGCCAGTCCACCGCCAAACTTCTGGCCGCCGTTGTTGGATTTCCCCAGATTCCCTCCCCAAGTTGTCTGCCACTACAATACAATTCACCACCGCTGGCGAGCTGTTGCCACCATTGGACTGCCCCAGCCAGGAATGGACTTCCCTTGGTTATGCAAGGGAACTACTAGGCAATTAATTAGGTTAATTAATTAATTAAATTAAAGAAACAAAATAAGGCTTAATAAACGATATAAAGTATGAAGTGTATTGCAATTTAAATGTGTAAAAAGGGAGAGTGAATAATTATATATCAACATGATTCTTGTCCTTGTTTCAAAGTTCAAACTATATGGTGCACATTTGATACTACTTAAAGGGCTTTATGATACATAGTATGAATAAATAAAACTGGAGGAGACATTGCCATCCACCGATATACTCACCGCTAAAAGAACCAAACAAATGTTTGCTACCAGCAACAAAACTTCATTATATAATACGGAGTAGAAATTAAACGAGGCGGCTTCAAATAATCAAATTCACTCATGGATATAAACATGTAAACTCAAATATAAAGAACTTACCAATTGATATTTCAGTTGCAAAACCCTGGACCAAAGAAGGAAGCAAACATTTTCTATCAAATGAAAATGAAAGACACGATTGATAATTAGCACCACACAAATATAATGAGAGGATGCATTGAAAGCATGACTCTCAATTGAGGGAATAATATGACCTTTTGAAGGGGTCCAAATCAATCTCACGACCTATCGTTTTTTCAAAAACGGGTAACACACAAAGCTTTGGCCTCAAACACCAAAACTAGATAGGACTTCTCACTCTCACCAACGTAAAAGCACACAAAGAAACCTAGGGAAGTCATTAATTACTACATAGATGATTAAAGATAATAAATTAAAATTTATAATAAAGTGCAATTTGTCAAGCTATCTTTTAATTGCTAGTGGTTATGCCATAATGAAAATGTAAAGTAAGACAGGTACATATTCAAATCCATTATTGAAGTAAACACTTGATAGAAAAAGGACAAGGTCAAAGAAAAAAAAATCAACAAACGTTGTGCTAATTAATATGTACAATTCAAAACCATTTGATTTTGCCACTCAAAACACTAGCTAGTGATACATAAGTGCCAAAGTGGTGATTCTAGTAATATGAAAGAGCCAACTCGCTTAGCCCAACATAACCATTTGTACAGCTTCCTTTTCATTGAGGAAGCCAACATATATACATTTCATATATGTCGTGGAAAGTAATATTTCACATATGAGGCGAACAAATGCCCAAAGTAATATAACTACTAATCAAATCGATTGGATGGTGAAGTAGTAATAACTGAAGCATAATGATGGTATACGACCGAAACATGCAAAATATAGAAAAGCAAACACATTTCTTAGCAGCAATCTCCTCTCCCTTACCTTTCTGTGGCACACATTTCCATACTTCTCGTTCTTTAGGTTAATCGATCTCAAACATAAATATGCACGTTGTCTTTGAAAGTATACAAATTATTGTTGGCCTAAATGTACTCTCTTTGTCCCGCTAAGGTTGTTTAATCGTTCTTTTTTATCCGTTTCATGTTTCATCAAGATTGTTCTGCACGAGATTTGGTAAAGTTTTTGTGGTTCTAAATTATTTTCCCTTACTCTTACTTTATCAATTCAATTATAACTACATAAAATTATTTTTCTTAATAATTGTGTCATATCATCATGTTCTAATGTTAGTTATTGGACCTACGGAGCAAATTAAAAACAAAATTAACGAACTCGATCACAACATAAATAAAGACATTACATTCAAAAGTACGTGGTTGCATATCTAAATCCGGCCAGGGTACAACCACCAAACACACCGTATAGTTCAGAAATTATAGCCCCAAGTCCAAAATGTTAATATTCAAACTTGAATTACGTCAAATCGGTGATAAACTTTGTATTCGACTTGGCTTGAGACACTAAGAATGTTTTCTTTCGAACTATTTTGAGTCTCAAACCAGACCATATCAGACCAAATTTTTGTAGTTATAAAATACACAGAGACCAGACGTTTATTAGACCAGACCAGTTTAGAGCAGACCAGACTAGATCAGACTAGTAAATTTCACTCCAAAAGAAAGCATCCTAATTAACTTTGTTAACTTTGTTCGGTCGTGAACTTGGATCATTTATACGGAGTAATCACGTAGTACAAGATACGAGATTGGTAGGCTTTCTTTTGTGATATTTTTAATCTATACGACAGTGACCAAAGGATAAAAACCACCGCTCATCATTTCATGATGATTGATGATGGTATAGTACGTGATAACCGCTTTCGCGGCGTTGTAGTAAAACGGAGTCTAACCTTTCGGTTTTTCCCCGAGTATCGTGTCTCTCGAGGAATGGCGGAGGAGCTTCTTGATTTCAAGTCCAGTCACAGGTTATCGCAAATTATTGGAAGCTTTCCAAATTAAAACTTTTGATTGATTTTCTAAACTACTTTTTGGAAAAGAAAGTAAATTAAATTGTGCAAATACTAATGATGGCTCAAAAATAGACTAAAGGAAAAAATATAATATTGAACTTAAATGGATTGATGCAAATAAGGGCAATGAATTGAGTAATTAGAAATGGATATATTCTTGGACCTAGTAATTAGGGAAATTAAAACTAAAATTGGACTAATAATTTCTTTCCTCATAGACAAGAATAGAAACTATTTTCATTAATTTATCTTATTTCTAGGTGTCATTAATGTGTTCAAAATGGTTGGCTTGAATTAAATTCTAACCTCATAGACAAGGTAGAAATAATTCTCCAATATTTTAATTAATAAAAATAGCCAAATTCATTAACTAGTTAAACTCATTATTTAAGCAATTGAATTTATCTCTCATAGACAAGATGTAAATCCCTTTCATTAAATTATCCTATTTCTAGGCCTTATTAATGTGCTTGAATATGGTTGGCTTAAATTATTTTCTAATCTCATAGACAAGTTAGAAATAATTTTCCAAGAATTTAATTAATGAATATGGCTAACAATTATTAATTACTATTTCATCATTTCAAACAACTAGTCCAAATTATGAAATTTAATCCCTAATTTTCGGTCAACAAGTCAATCCATATTCCTTTAGTCAATTCATGCCCAAAACAAATTTAGCTAATAAACATCATTTTTTCATTTAACAATACAATGAATAAATTCAACATTAACAAGGAATTAAGCATGTACAAAAATAATATTTTGCCAAAATAAACTTGTAGAACTAAAATATCACCTTCTGGAATTTTTCCCGAATTTTATAACCTAAAATCCAATTTTAACAACTAATTGATAATTTTCCCAATATTAACTAGCAAATACAAAAAAAGGCAACTACAAATATTCTAAATTCGTTCTAAATTTTATATTGACTACTAGGAGTGATAT